ATATATATATATATATATATATATATATAATATATATATATGTATATATATATATATATATATATATATATATATATATATATATATATATATATATATATATATATATATATATATATTGAAATGTTTAGAAATTTGACATCAGTAAAAATAGTGTTAAAATGAGTTAAAATTGTTATATTTGAGCATCAACTATAAAAAAATAATTAAAAGCCTGTTGATTTTGTTCACTGCATATCTGCGTAAACAGTTACACAGTTATTGAGATGATTTTTAATAATCAAATTTATTCATGATTTAAAGTACCTTGAATCTATCATTTCTTATGATAAAGTTAACACAAGGATACAAATAAGTTCAAGTTTGATGAATTTTTATCTCAGCTATGATAAACTATTTTGAAGATTGCCTTTTATATATATATATATATATATATATATATATATATATATATATATATATATATATATATATATATATATATATATATATATATATATATATATATATATTTATATATATATATACATATATATATATATATCTATATATCTATATCTATATATCTATATCTATATCTGTATCTATATATATATATATATATATATATATATATATATATATATATATATATATATATATATATATATATATATATATATATATATATATATATATATATATATATATATATATATATATATTAGCTTCTTTTTTTTATAGTCTTTCAACATCACTGAAGTGGATACAGGTAAATTTTATTGATTTACATTTAAATCAGGCTTTTGCCATTAATTTGATATACTTGTTTCTTGTTTTGTCTTTTTTTTGTTGTTGTTGTACTATTTAAATGGATATAATTGAATTATGTTCAAGCAGCTTTTGAAATTAAAATGTCAGAGTGACCTAAATTTTATCAAAGTTTTTGTTATTATAACTATTTTATTTAATTTAACAAAAAATACAAATATAAAATGCTTTTATGTCACACTAAGGTAAACAATTTAATACAGTACATAGTTTATTTGAATTTTGATAGTATTTAAATTCAATAAACAATCTGTGAATAAAAAAGTTTATATTGGAATACACTATTATGTCAAAATTTTGTATTGAATTGACAAATTCAAAAGGTGCACAATGTTCAATGATTGAATGTACAAACGAAAAATGTGCAGGCAATTAATAATTTCCACACAGATAAAAACAATTTTTGACATATATATTGAGTTAGCAGTTTTTTGACCAGTCTAAAATGTTTTTTTAAAGTATTAGTGGATTTTTAGATAAATTTTTATGAGAGTTTCAAGATATTCAGCCCTTATCCCAAAGCTATCTGGACAATTATTACTATTTAGTAATGAGATACTATTTATTTACTATTTAGTAATGAGATACTATTTATAATATCAGCTGTTGTAGAGGTAAATAGGGTTATATATAGGAATAGGCTTTTGGTTATTATTTATAATAAGTGGTGTATTGATTATAGTTTATAAATGTTGTCTGAATTTCTTAAGGATTTCTTTTAAGCAATTTATTAAATGAAAATAATTGAGTACTTGATTTGGTTTTGAATTTATGAATGTTGTATCAGAACTTCTAAAAATTTGTAGTTCGTAAATTTTCAATTTCATTGTTTTTTTATGCCATCTCTTTTTTACGGATCTTTTTGTTTTGGGTTGCTTTAATCATTTTACAAAAATTTTTACGAAATTTTAGATGCATCTTTTATGCTCCATGTATTCCATTTTCCAGTATTTCTATCAATTCTAAGTTAAATTGTTATTGTCTGCAAACAGACTCTCAATGCTGGAAATTACATTGTTTTGATAAACTAAAAACAGAATAGGAGTATTTCACAAAATGCAATTTCATCACAAAATTGGTTTATTTAAACATTGTGCACCTATTGAATCTGTCAAATCAATACAAAATTTTGGTATATCATTTCAAGCATTTCACAAAAATGACGTTTGAATACAAGTTATCAATACAAATACATTGAGAATGATTTGTTATGAAATTTGTTATCCAGTGTAGCAATTCATACCTAATATTGTAACAGTGCAGTTACAGTTTTGAAGAACTTTGAAAGAAGCTTTTAAAGAAATAAAATTACAGAATCTGTATAAAGAATTACATTGTTTATAGAATTTTGTGATAAATCTGAGACAGGTACAATACCATTACCTGTAACAAAAATAGAACCAAAATATTTATTCAAAAGATGTGGTTTTTCACAACCATCTGTAACCATCT